AACACAGGTGATAAGAAAGGTAATGTCAAACTTCATAAGCAATTGGTATCACTTCTTAATGATTAATAACACATATTAGTTGTAGGTTAAATTGGGTCTTAGTTTTGGTAGATTCCCAACCTAACCAAAGTTGAGAAGGGAGGAACGAGGATTACAGCCTTGAATAGCGGGTTCTGTATACACATTATGGACCTTTGAAGTTGGACAAGAGGATTTGTTCTTATCTCATTGAGGTTTTTGGGTGGATTTTTTTTTATTTCAAAACGGGGATATTAGGGTAGAACTGCCTTGTACTTCCTCTATAGACGTTTTAAGGTAGGGAAAAGGAGTTTGACAATTACATTAACGAATCCACAAGGATATGGAAAAAAAGTCTGTCAAGTTATCACGAGGAATTATTTTCAATCCAACCTTTAAGTGCCTTCATAGTTAATCACAGGACAGGTAACGCCATCACACCTGAGGTAAATTAGTACACCATAAAAACCTAATACAAACAACACCTTATATATTAATAGGATCGTCATATAACTTACTGGTATAATTGGAACTGCTATATAGTTTGTTTGTTCGTTTGATTATTTGATTTTTTCTGTCTAAGTATATTGTTCACCTGGCTCTAATAAAGGTTTGTCTTGAGTACTTGAATACGATGTAACTCAGGTGTGACTTGATGATTCTCAGTCTGGGAGAGAGATAAAGGAGCCACGAGCGCTGATAGCCTGAGCCGCCACTAATAGAATGTTTACCACGTAATGTGCTCTTAAACATGATTGGTTGCCATGAGTGGTGCTGTTCAGGGTGATTAATTGCTATGAGAGGTATTCTTTAGTTATAATTGTTTACAGCGATGCAAGGAGAGCTCTTAACTATGATTTGGTTGCCACGGAAGGGGTTCTTAGCTACGATTGGTTGCCACATGAGATATTCTAAGTAATGATTGGTTGCCACGCCAGATGTTCTTTGCCACTATTGGTAGCTTAGATTAGGTGCCAGATCAGATGTCCAACCACGATTAATTGCCACCATACTCTGTATCTTGATTAGTTGCCACGACAGTTGCCACAAGTCAAGATTAGTTGGGACAAGAGATGGTGCTCTGCGATATGATTGGATTACCCACAAGAATTATAGCATACTCCTGACTGGTTACCATAAAGACGTGTACTGTATCTCACCCACGTTCCTTAACTGTGATTGGTCGCTAGATAGTCTTAGGTCACGATAACAGCCAATAAGAAGAGAATTCTCCGGAAATCCATGAAAAAAAAGCCCTTCAAGAGGTGGCTTCAGACATGGGCCGGCTTGGAGCGTGGCATGCCTCGTTAGATAATTTTTCCGGGACATTGAGTTGGTGGGAATCCTGGCCTAGTGAGTGGTCGTATTCTAGCAGAGTTTCTATGGACTCGACCCTCCCTCCCTCCCTCCCCTCACTGATAAATTGATTGGAGGACGTCTTTGTTGTGGATATGTGGGTATCTGTGTGTGTGTGTGTGTGTGTGTGTGTGTGTGTGTGTGTGTGTTTACGCATGATTTTTTGTGTGTATAAAAAAAGCCCTGTTTATACACCTGACTAATCTTTTATTCCTAACTTAATCTGTCATCCCTGAGAGAGAGAGAGAATAGTCTTACCTAATATAAGTCCGCCAGTTCCACGCGGATACTTACATGTTTTGAATTACTTTTTTTGCAAATTCTAATCGTCAGTTTTGTGTTCTCAGTAAGAATATATTATTTCGGTAGGGATTGATATACCCTTATTATCTTTCTCTTTGATTTTCTCTCTTTTTCCTTAAGTCTATCTTTCTTTTTAATTCTTTCTCTCGTTATATATCTCTTTATGTCTTCATATTTTTCTCTCTCTTGCTATCTCTCTGTTTATATCCTTCTTCGTCTCTTTCCCTCGTATATCTCTATTTCTCTGTATTATATTTCTTCTTTCATCTCTTTTTCTCTCTTTGTGTATATTTTTCTCTTTATTTCCCTCCGTCTTTTTACATCTCACTTTCCTTGATTATATATCTCTCTCTACTTTCTTTGCTGCCATTCTTCTCACCCCGCGGGACATAAACTGGCAAACACACCACCACAAACACACGTCTCATCCTCCTCCAGCTCGTCCTCTTTTAGCCTCCCCTATCATGTCAGTAAGCATCTCCCCTTTCCTCGTAGGACCTAACACCAACACCGCCTTCCTTCATCCATCCCTCGGCCTGCCCCACAGCCTTAACTCACCCTGAGCCACAATCTCCCCGGCCACCCGCGGCCGCCGTGCCCACACACCACTTTTACGGCTGTTGCAGCGTTGCCTCGTAAAGCCAGAAAGTGCGGCAACGTAGCATAGACGCGGCACATGAACTTTTGTTTATGTTTGCTGCCAGTTGGCCCGGATGTCTTTAGATGTGTGTTTCTACTTGAATATTTTTTATTATTTTTGTATACATAAACCTGTTTAGACATTATGTATATATATATATATATATATATATATATATATATATATATATATATATATATATATATATATATATATATATATATATATATATATATATATATATATATATATATATATATATATATATATATAGAGACAGAGAGTGAGTTATTTTTAGAGAAGGATTAGTGGAAGCGGAACTCCATTTATGTAAAATTAATATTTCGTTTTACATATCAGTTAGTCTAGTCACAAAGTTAGGCTATTTCTTTTTTATGGATGTGTGGGTTTTGTGTGTTTGTTCCATTTAAAAGAATTTATATATAAACACATGTATATATTTTACTCCCACGGTGTATGAATGCATAAAACATCTATTACGTGTGCAATGTATGTGTTTGTCTACCCAATACATACGGCATAAGGATTTATCTTTGTTGATTTGCATACCGTTCCTCCCTCGAGTGCACTGCCCTGGTATACACCTTTAAGACAATACTCACACAAATTTATGTCGTGCATAACACATATTTCGAATAAAGGCCACATATCATATTAAGAAATGATATGTAAGCAGCAACGTATTTTATTAAACACGTAGTACAACTGACAGCCACAGTGAACGTGTGTGTAGAAGAGAACAATATATATATTACCAAAACTATCATTGATACATAAGCATCAAACACATTTCGAAACAAACCACGTTATATAAAACAAGAAAATACATACGCAGAGATCACCCAGATTAGACAAAAATGAGTCATACTAACACTACAATACAACGGTGTCGAAAGTCCTGTTGACACACGTAACAATCAAACATAAAAAAAACACATTCCCATGTTGACACGCACACAAAAGACATATGTCGAGATTACCGGAAATTATGCAAAAGAAAATCCTTTTGACGTTGTTATTCAAATTGGACGTCAAACTTCACCACCGAGGAGCTAGGACGTCTTGGGGGGCGGCGCATGTCAATGAGTGAAACACCCTTAATCTTTGTGGTGGTGGGGAGGAGGGAGAGGAAGTGGGAGGGGGAGGGGGGGAGGGAAGAGGGAAAGGGAGAGAGGGAGAGAATGGCCTTCTCAAATTCCGTTGCCATCCCATTCCAATGTGTTGTGTCGTGTTGTCACCACGTAGAGATGGAGTCATTTGTCATGTTCAAATTTGTCTCTTTATTTTTGTACTTGGAGACTACAACACTGATTTTCTGTTATAATACGAACACATACAATGATTCACTGTTTTATTACGAACACATATAGTGATTCACTGTTTTATTACGAACACATATAATGATTCAGTTTTATTACGAACACATATAATGATTCGCTGTTTTATTACGAACACATATAGTGATTCACTGTTTTATTACGAACACATATAATGATTCACTGTTTTATTACGAACACATATAATGATTCACTGTTTTATTGCGAACACATATAATGATTCACTATTACGAACACATATAATGATTCACTGTTTTATTACGAACACATATAATGATTCAGTTTTATTACGAACACATATAATGATTCGCTGTTTTATTACGAACACATAATGATTCACTGTTTTATTACGAACACATATAATGATTCACTGTTTTATTACGAACAAATATAATGATTCACTGTTTTATTATGAAAATATATAACAATAATAATTTTTTAACACGACCACGGTAATGATGATAATGAATAATGAGCGTTTACATGAATAAAATACGTTTATCTATGACTATTAAACGTCATTATACATGCAGAAAAGAACCATTGCATATAGTGTTATTCATCATTTTTTTTATCAACAATACTTCTACAATACGAAATAGCTTATATAAATATGTTTCTTGACTTTTTTTTTCTTTATGTTACTTGATAAATAAAACAAGAAGGCGAGAACTGGAACTATCTCGTCTTGTGATCAGTAGGGAGCTCTTACAGGGAAAGAAGTGCACCACATCTTGTCCCAAATGACATTCACACGCCGCACAGTATTCCACGGACAACTTTGGCACACAGTGGAAATTCAATTTAGCAGTTACTACGCCAGCCTAGAAATTGGAAAAGTTATAATCCGACGGGTGTTTAGAGGGAAAACATCCAAGTCGATAGACGGAAGTTGGTGAATATTTTGTGATGGTGACAGTGGGCTGGTGATGATGAATACAAAAACCGGGGATATCAGTCATCAAGATGATCATGACGAAGAAAGATTTTTACTCGCGTAATATCGGGCAATAATTAGTTAATGGAGAAACACCTGGAGCTTTTTTATCACTGATTTATATGTATAACATGACTGCGTTATTTTTTATCATTATCGTCTTTATATATTTTTATTTTTATAACAGTTCTATTTGTCACTCAATGATATCTTAATACTGGTTTAGACGATTATATGTGTTTCGATGTACCCCTGACACTGTACAATATACAGTGTATCCTATACTATGACAATTGACTATTGGAATATTAGAATCCAACTCTACGCTTTCAGTACAACAGTGCACGATGCATTATATATTAATTTGTTTCTTTTTTCATCTTTACAGGAGAGTGTCACTGCCGTCGACTCCGGGACTCCGAGTCAGGGGCAGAGTGGAGATGCCTCTGGTTACGACGCCTCTGGACGCTCCTCCTGACGGCGCGATACCCTGAGAGGAGGTGTAAGGTAGCGGGTGCTTGGGGGCAGCTGGCGAAGATGGAACGAGACACGACACCTCTTCTTCTGTACAACAACCATCATCCCACTTTAAGTGATGACTCAGAATGGGACGACCTTCTGGGCAGAGGAAAATGTGAAAGCACTTTCCCGTCCACTCCTTCACACAGCCCAAGAAACTTACACCGAAAGCCTCTCACAGATCATGCTCAAGGCAGAAGAAAACTTTTCGCTAAGTTTGGGCTTTCGGCAATGTTCTCGTCTCGTGATTCATCAAATAGTCCAAAGATGGCCAGGCAAGTTGTAAAACCCAGCGAAACCAACTCTTCTTTCGCACTTCCCTGGACGCGCTCCAAGGTTACCAACAAAAGCTACATTACCAACAACGACAACAGGAGAACGGACGGAATAAAATCAGAGAAGAGTTGTGGGCAAAACTGCCAAACTGAAGAGGACTCACCTGCTCTGCTGACTTCTCCTGATACCTACAGAAGCAGAAGAAAACACCGGCTGTGGTTCACTGAACCCCGGGGATACAAAACAGTGCCGGCGGAGACTCAACCAGTCCTCCCGGGTCAGGCAAACAGTGGGAGTTCCCGGGCCTGGGTGTCACCGCCTGCCTGGTCTTCAGTGGTCCATGGATTGCACTCTGTGGCACTGGTACTCATGGTGACGCTTTTGAGTCCCGTCGGTGCCTTCTGTCCCCGAGGATGTTCATGTGACGACGTGGGGTTGCTGGTTCACTGTGACAAAGCAGACCTAGACGTGATCCCAATACTGCTTCATCCTGGAACCCTGGAACTACACCTGAGCCACAACAGGATCAAGACAATTTTGGAAGGACTTATATTTTACAATGAGCTTCGGTTTTTGGATCTGTCGCATAATGAGGTAGTATCGCTTGGTTCACAAAACTTTGCCTCGCAAAGATCTCTCAAGACACTTGTGATAAATAATAACAAGGTTTCAAAGATTCAGAGCAGAGCATTTCTTGGACTTTCGAAGCTCACTACTCTGGATTTGAGTGATAATTACATAGAAACTCTGGAAAATAACGCTTTCAGTTCTCTTAGCAAACTGAAAACTCTTGACTTGTCGAATAACCGAATAAAGAATCTTACTGCCAATACCTTCATGAAACTCCGAGGGTTGAAATTACTTAATTTGTGTAAGAATGAGCTTAAGGATATTTCCAGTGTTGTATTTGAACCCCTTAAAGAGCTTCAAGACCTAGATCTGTGCTCAAACCAAATTACGGTCATTCAGGACTTTGCTTTCAAAAGTCTAAAGGGTCTAATTAACTTGAAACTAAGCAATAACAAAGTGCGTCACATCCACGAGAAGGCTTTTAGTGGGCTGGAGTCCCTAAGACTTCTAGGCCTAAAAGACAATGCGTTCACTGAAGTGCCCAGCCACATCTTACCTGCCATCAAGGGTCTTGAGGAGCTGGATTTGGGGATCAATCCTCTGACGTCATTACCTTTCGACCCTTTTTCCCAATTGGTTAATCTTAAGAGTCTGCACATATCACGATGTGAGAACCTTTCCTTAATCGACAGTGGAGCTTTCGCTAGTCTCAGTAAACTTAATTCCCTTGTACTCAGTTTCAACCCCCAATTATCCTCTCTCCAACGTGACGTCTTTAAGCCTCTTACTGGCCTTCGACATTTGGTTCTCAGGGGTAATGGCTTAAGAGGTTTTGATCGCTCTCTTGTTAGTTCCACCAGCCTCCAGTCACTTGATCTTCGGGACAATAGACTTGAGTGCAATTGTTCCATAAAGTGGCTGCAAGAAGCGAGCTTGAACAATAGCCTCTCGCTAAAAATCGAGGAGATATCGTGCGCCGGGCCAGACGTGCTGAGGGGCAGAAGCCTCTCAGAACTATCCGAGTATGATCTTGAGTGTTACAATAACGTAGTGGTGGTGGCCTCTTGTGCTGCCGCGTCGATGGCTCTCATCCTCCTTCTAGTGGCTTTTGGTGTTCTTTATTATAAGAACTGCCGCAAGATGAAGGCGATGGTCCACGACAACTGGCCGGAGAAGATCGTGGCGACCTGGAAAGACCCGGAATACCAGAAGCAGGTTGAGGACGAAGAATACACATTTCATTCTCTTCGTGGCATCCAGCACATTCCCGTGACAGTCATTTGACAGGAGCTCGGTGGAGATCAACCACCGCCTTCTGGTCTCCACGACGAGTTAATTGAAAGAACCAAGGCGCTCAAGTCCTCCATGTCAGCGGAGGAAAGTAACAAAAGCAGAACCATGAGACAGCCCCATCATGGAAGAAAAGAAATAGAAGACTATTTCTCCTCGCTCAAGTCCCCAACAAGGGCCAACCAAGAAGGACACTTTGGGGTCCTTCCACTCGAGAACGGTGTAGGGGGAGCCGCCAGCAGCAGCCGCAGCAGCAGCAGTAGCAGCAGCAGAAACGGTGGTCAGCGTATTTCACATTACCTGCCACCCACCCCACCTCCCGGCGCTACCACCACACCACGCCGCCACAACTCTCACATATACGCTGAGCCTCACGCCAGACCCAAGCTTGGCAGCAACGGCACAGCCCACAAGTCATCCAAAGATTCTGGATATTACTCCTGTGAGTTTCTGGACCAGAATCCCTACGCAGGTTCTATGAAGGAGCCAGGAGGGAAGGCAACCCCCTCCCAGAACAGCAGAAGTCTCGGGCGGCACCTTCCCCCCAGCGACTCCGGGGTCTTCACTCTCAGCCACATCTACAACAGGCCTAGTCAACATAGCTTTAACAGTGAACAAGAGGGAATCTATGATAACATAATTTGATAACGAGAAAATGCCAGCAGCTTGTTCTTTTGTTGGGCATTAGCTACAAGAACATTTATAGCGTGATAAGTTTTGGACATTGGAACAATGGTTGTGGGTCTTGGAACTTTGTGGTTATTCACTTATATCAGCTTTTCATAATGAAGCTTTGATTATTATTATATACTGTGACGTTCTTACATTCATTTGAATAGTATATAGTTACTGTTATAAGTCATTTGTTTCTCTTGTGCATGATATTGTAAAAAAATAAAAATAAATCACATCCCAGTTCCTCTTTGCTCATGAACAAGCGGTAGACAAAGCACAATACTATATTATCACGAATGATTAAGCCATTTTCTTGGCCACACTGTGTTTTGCTACAGTTGCAATACAGACTAGTCCAGACGGTGTGTGACGAGCCAAGACGTTTATCATTATGTACAGATATTATTAAGACGTGCATCTTACGTATGCATAATTGACTTGCACATTGTCTTAGGTTTTAAAGCTTGCTTCAATCGGGATATCTCGTCTGCACCTTTATAAGACTAAAATCAAAACATCGGAGGAATTGCCTTTACATCCATTTTAAAGGGTATAGAATTCTGAGACATTTTGTATACTACATACGTTTTTCTTGTCATTAATTAAACTATGATTATGCTTCAGTAATGTTATTTCATTTACCTCTCCTCACAGATAACATTATAGAGATTATATGTTGAAATGGTTGAAACTGGAAAACTAAACAAGATTATATGTCACACCTACACTCACAGCACGTTGAATTATACGTGATTAGCAAGAAGTGTATATATGGATACTACACAGATCTTACGCATTAAAGTAAGTTGGATTTTGTACCCAGTATCTAAAACAACTATTTGTGCAGGTGGGGGTCGACATGCTCCGAAATTTTACGTGTGACTAGTGACAGCCCTCATATACCAATATTTATCGTCCATGGTGTCATATTGTTTCCCACAAAGTATGCACAGATAGTTGTTTTAGCTACTGTGCGCATAAGAACAGTGATCTACTGAAATACAATGTTGAGGATTAAAATGATAAACTACAAAACATCTACATAGAAAAAGATGTTGTCTATGTAATATAAGGAGAATGAAATGTATTAACATGCTTAAGAACTCTGTATCCATTGTCTTGAAAGAGGTAATTAAGTAATAGACGTTCACTTTGATCACTAAAAGGAGGGAAATGGGCAATTTAGGTTTGTATAATGAGAGTATAATTTTCTCTTACATTCAAATGATATATATACTGTATGTGACCCCCCTCCTCTCTCTCTCTGGCTATTTAGTTTGGAGGCTTAGGGAGACTCTCCTAAGATAAGGGTGAAGACAGTAACACAAACATCGCACACCATCACCACCATTCTCGGGTGATGAATTGCTCACCACTTCGGTGTGTGTGTGTGTGTGAATATCTGTATGAGTGTTTTGTACACAGCGCCCGAGCAAAGAACATATACAATGTTTATACCTGTCGAGGACAAAGAATGTGTGTAGTCGTACAGGCAGGTAGCATGTGCGTGGGGGGGCTCTGGCATTTGGTGTTTCCCAGAGAATCAGGACCATAAGGTGAATCTGCATTGCTGAGTAATGAGGAGTTCCAGGAAAACAATTAATACTGGCAGGAGGAGGAGAAACACCCACTCCAAGAATACCTGGGAGATGAACCTCTGTAAAGGGACTAAGTCCTCTGTTTTCTGGTTGGGATCAAAAGGGATTTACCTTTTTTTTATATTGATTTATTTTTTTTTGGGGAAGGGGCTTCATATTAAAAAGGATAATCTAGTGTTGATATTCTGTATAAAGGATATTATAGAAAGATAAAATATTGTTTTTGTATTATATCTATAAGATAATAATAATAATAATAATAATAATAATAATAATAATAATAATAATAATAATAATAATAATAATAATTAAAATAACAATAATAATATATACTACTACTACTACTACTAATAATAATATTAATAAATAATAATAATAATAATAATAATAATAATAAATAATAATAATAATATATACTACTACTACTACTACTACTACTAATAATAATAATAATAATAATAATAAATAATAATAATGATAATAATAATATTAATAATAATACTACTACTACTACTAATAATAATAATAATAATAAAAATAATAATAATAATAATAATAATAACAATAATAATAATAATAATAATATTAATATTAATTATAATAATAATAATAATATTAATAATAATAATAATAATAAATGATAATAATTATAAATAATAATGATAATAATAATAATAATAATAATAAAATAATAATAATAATAATAATTATAATAATATTAATAACTAAAATAATAACAACAGCAACAACAACAACAACAACAACAACAACAACAACAACAGCAATAATAATAATAATAATAATAGTGAAAGATTTACAGTATTAATTATTACAAGATATATGGCAAAGGTGACCGAAATAGTCAGTAAAAGATTATATGAAAAACAACAAGAAAAAAGACAAAAACGTTCAGTGAGGGTCACAGATCGCCAATTACCCGGGAGAAAGATGCCGAGGGGGAGAGAAGGAACAACTCGAGCTCATGTTCGAGTGCCACTAGCCACTTCAGATCATAATTACAATTACAATTGGTTTCATATGTTAGATATAGAATTGTGATAACATTTTTGAGAGAGAGAAAGAGAGAGAGAGAGAGAGAGAGAGACCAAATCGCCTCTTGCGTATATTATTAAACCAAAAAAGCATATTTCCGATAAACTCTCTTCAGCAAATAAAAGATCTCTATCAAGTCGATAACCAAAGCCGTATTGTAATGATGCAAATATTCAACACAACTAACTACAAATTGACGGAAGGTGGAACCGTTTAGTCTGATGAGCGTCAAGTCGTGCAGTCAACTGTTGCATACATCGCCTCAGCCCAAGGTGATTTTTTTTTTCAATACAGGTAATCACGCGCGGTTAGGGGTGGGATGTCAAAACAACGGCAAGAGGAATTATTTCGTTTACACCGTGATGACTCCACCTACACCCCCCCCCCACACACACACATAGCTCCATTCCTAAACACACACACATACACAACTCCTGATTTATGTACTGCACAGCCCTGTAAATGTATTCAATGCATATTATATCATTATGTCTAAATCTAATGTAAGTGTATATTTTCAGCCACCGGCTGCAAGTCTATTAATAAACCGTTTATTATTATTATTATTATTATTACACCTACACCCCCCCCCACAAACATCTACACCCCCACACCAACCAACACACCCCACACACACATCTACACCCTTCACACCAGACCTACACCCCACACAAACACACCTACACCCCCACACTTTCATCCCCAACACACACATTTCAAAACTGAGAAAGATTACAGCATTAATATAATTTCTTGTTCGAGATTTATATCCTGGGAGACACACTTGTTTCCAGCGGAGTAATTGCCTTCAACAAAACTCTCCTTCTTACCTCGAATACAATCTTCATAATGGTATAAATGAAGAAAGATATGCTGCACAATACATGATTAGCATTCCTCCTGCAGCCCCAATACCCACTGTCTACCCTACCCCTTCCCTTCCCTCTCCCTTCTTTTCCCTTCCCCACTCATGCACCCTCCCCTCCCCTTCCTTCCCCCTCCCTTCTCTTGCTCACTCCCCTCTCTTGCTTTTCCCCTTCCTTCCCTATCCCCTTTCATGCACCCTCCTCTCTTCTCCCCCTCTCCTTTCATGCAACCTCTCCCCTCCCTTCCCCCTCCCCTCTCTTGCTCCCTCTCCTCCCTTTCCCTCTCGCCTACCTTCCCTCTCCCCTCTCTTCCTCCCTCTCCTCCCTTTCCCTCTCCCCTCCCTTCCCCGCCCCCAAAAATAAATAAATAAAAAATAAAAAATGTACCCTGACTGTGTCTTTAATGTGAAGCAAATATTTAAAACGACTTTCTTCAGCGGCCGCACCAGGCGTTGTGTGTAGGAGAAATTAAATTTGCATATCAAAGTCCTTGTCAAATATCATGCAAATTAGAACTTAATATTTCACGCAATGTAACAAGGTGGTTGTTTGCATTAATTTCGGAGCTAATTTTTTTTTCTACTTCACTCTCTTCTTTCTTCTTCATCATCTTCTACTTCGTTTTTTTTCCTTTTTATTTGTAATTGTTCTCTCTCTCTCTCTCTCTCTCTCTCTCTCTCTCTCTCTCTCTCTCTCTGACATACAATTAACACAAGAGATAGTTAGAGACTGTCCCCACAGTCAGGAATCGTCCCCTAATAACGCTCTTATGCACAACTGCAATAGAGGTAATTTAGCATTAATCATCAGGTGTCTTGGTTAGTGCGAATGCTGACAAGGACACCAACAGCATTTCACAGCTCGCAGATTGGTAATAATGTTGCTCTCTTAAGTGGATTAGAGATGACAGTAGTAATATTTTGGTATTGTTAGTAAGAAGACCTATTAAATGAGTACGGTAGGTTCACTCCATCCAGATTATGAGCATCTTAAGATTAGGCACCCTAACTTATTTAACCTTACGATTACATTTTTTGGGTCTTTTCTTTGTCTTTTCATCTTTTTGTTTTAACTTTCCCTGCTATTCTTCTTTTCCCTCCAATTCTTCTTTTTTTCCCTTTTCTCGTTCTCTTTTTCTTCTCATCTTCTATTTCCTTTTTTACTCATTATATATTTTTTTCCAGTCAATGTGTCTCAGTATGTCTTTCCTTTTCCTCTTCCATTATTTTCTAGTATCCTTTCAACTTCCTTCCGTCTCACTCCATGTCTCATCTCTTCTCTCTTTCTCTGCTTTGATGAAGTTAAGAAATATTCCTCTTCTTCCAAAATATTAACTTTAGGTTAGGTTAGGTTAGGTTTTTCCCGGTCCATCCAGGTAAATAATAATCATTAGATGAATATAGCTTACAACATTACTTCCTAACCTTCCATACATCACCTTATTATAACAAAATAAATAAATAAATAAATAAATAAATAAACCAAGACTAAATTTGGTTCAACTTCCTATAAAGTTAAAACAAACCAAATATTATTCGATTAAATGTCATTCTCACTTCACACCATCGATAATATAACGACATTGGTAAGTTTAATCAAGTAATGGCCGTTCTATGTAATTCCAGGATTATGAATCAATGTTCTTAACTTCAATCTCTTTTGGAATATTAATTAAGCTTAGTGAGTGTGTATTACCTGTAGGGTCTTTACACACCTTTACCCAGAAGAGTTAATCATTGAGGTAATTCTGATTTTCATGTATAGATTTATAGACATTTTGATGTTACTTATGATGTATAGATGTTGTTAAGTTTCTAATGACGATAGTTTAACCATTTGAGGATGATGGTATAGTCTAGTACCTTAAGAATGATAGATTAACCCTTTCAGAATGATGGTATGAAACCCTTGAAGGATGATAGTTCACGTTTATTACACACACACACACACACACACACACACACACACACACACACACACACACACACACATCTCATTGAGCTTGAAGGCTCTATGATATACTCACCTTTTTATTGATGCTGAAGATGAATAAGACTCGTCCTAGTACAGTCTAGTGAGGATTTCCTGTAAACAAGAATTTTGTCA